ATAAATAAACTACAAACAAACAAACAAACAGAATGGCATTTGTATGTCTAGGTGTTCTGGAAATAAATATTGTACTTTGAGAAAACCTCTTCCATTAATTTTGTTCAGGCCACATAGAGACAATGCACTTTGGATATGTCGGATCTCATTATATAGGCTCAGTTTGGGAGTGTAGTTGATATATTGTGGCTCAACTGTGAGGTATCTGAAACTGTAGCCATGCTGAGGTTTTCACTGGAAGTTCTGCAGGATCATTAAGGTTGATTCAGCCTTCCATCTTTCTAAGGTTGGTAAAATGATGAACAAGATTGTTGGGGCAATATACTGATTTGGTAAACCGCTAAGACAGGGCTTTAAAGCACTATGAAGCGGTATATACCATATTTTTCAGAGTATAAGATGCACCCTTTTCCCTCAAAAAAGAGGCTGAAAATCTGGTGCGTCTTATATACTGAATACAGCATTTTTTTTGCCTCCTGAAACCCCTCCCCTTCACCAAAATGGCTGTGCATAGTTTGTAGAAGGCTCTCAGAGAGCTCCTGGGGGCGGGGAAGGGCAAAAATGAGCAAAAAATGGCCATTTCTTTCCTCAATTTTGCCCAGCCCCTGTCCCCAGGAGCACTCTATAAGCTCCCTAATGTCCTTTTTTTCACAAAAAAACAGGCCCATTTTCACGAAAAATGGGCCATATTTTGCTCATTTTTGGTTCCCCTCCTTCAGGAACACTCTACAAGCCTCATAAGGGCTATTCACGCCTTTTTGGAAAAAAAACCAAGCCTGTTTTTGCGAAAAACGGGCCATTTTGGGGTGGTTTTCCAGAGTGCAAAAACTTTTTTTTTTTAATTTGCCTCTTCAAAACCTTGGTGCATCTTATACTCCGAAAAATACAGTAAATCTAAGTGCTATTGCTATTTTGCAGAAAGCATTTTCTGCCTTCCAACGATTCTGTTCCTCTCCTCCTCCAATCCTCTTCCAGAGTAAAAGCTCAGCTACTGTTCTGTACAACAGCTACGGCTCCATTCATTTCAAGCGCCACAGAAATAGAGGTTGGCAAGTTTTCTTCAATTGTTTTGAAGGGACTGGGAATCCAAACATGATGGGGTGGAATTGTGCTAAGATTGCAGCCTTGTATCCATGTTCAGCACTAAGCTCCATCAAATTCAGCAGAAAGTTGCAGATGTTCTGGAGGCTCCATCACTGGAAGTTTTCAAGAAGAGATGGTATAGGTCTCCTACTTGAGCAACGATTGGACTAGAGGATCTACAAGGTCCCTTCCAATAGTGTTGTTCTTTATTCTACTTTATAAATATCTTAAGGTGTATGATGAGGCATATTTCCAAGTCATCACGCATAGGAAAGTATCTTACATATTGCCTTTTTTACCCCATCCTCAAGATTCATTTGGGGGTTTTTTTAATGAAATTTTCAAACATGTTTGAAGGCTATTGCAAATGGGCAGAATGAGAATTCAGATGAGGCATGGAAGGCCTTGCATGATGCAAACCACCAGAGAAAGGGCAGAATGAAAGACACACTTCTCAGCTTCCTCATTACTAGAATATGTATACCAGGCTATCCCAGTGTTTCTCTGAAATACTTTTCTTCTTTGGGGAAAAAGACCACACAGCAGTTTTCAAACTGGTTGGGGGAAAAGAAGCAAACAATAATGTAGACCACTTCATTGGTTTTCTTACAGCAGTTCCTCCATTCCTCAGAAGCAAAAATTAGGGAAGTGGGAATTGGCCCCCAGCCAGGGGTAAAGTGTTACTGGTTCAGATCTGACTTCATAGTAAAAAATTCCACAGGTTCGCCTGAACCGGTAGTAAAAAAAATGCCACTGGTTCAGGCAAACCAGTAGCTCCGACGATCAGCTGTGCGACAATCAGCTGTGCCACACGATTAAAAATCACGCGGCACAGCTGATTGTCACACAGCTGATCATTGAAATGTAAAAAAAAATGCTACAGGTTGGGCAATCCGTAAGTTCCACGATCAGCTGTGCGACAGACAAGCAATGGTGTGCATGTGCGCGAAGCACGCGTGAAACGAACCAGTAGTGAATTGAACCGGTGGCAGACTTCAGAGCATTTCACCCCTGCTCCCTGCCTTAACCAGGCTGTGGTTTGACATGGCTATTTCTAAACACATAAATAAAACCCTTTCAGTTATGCAAAATTAATACATGAACTAACCTAGATTTCTGCTGAAGAATTAGTAAAGAGTCTGCATTCATATACTGCAATGGCAACTAATGTACATGTCACAGGAAAAATTAATTCTGGAAATTCAGATTCCCAGGGAAAAGGCTTTGAAATTAAAATCCCATTTTAAAGGAGAAAACAACACTTCGTTCTAATTAATAGCAGGATATTTACCTTTGTGTTTATGCTTTGTGTCTGTACTGCAAGCCATTTTGTNGAATGATGAGCCAGCCCAGCGAGCTAGCAGCTGATGGGTGGGGCAGCGAGGGAGCTGCAAGCGCCAAAAAAAGTGTGTTTTTTAAAGAACCGTGCGGGATGCGGGAAAATTTATGAAAAAGTGTGGCTGTCCCGCCAAATGCGGGACGTCTGGTCATCCTACTCTATAAGCCTCCTAAAGACTATGCATGCCCCACTTTTTGACAAAAACGGGCCAGTTTTTCCAAAAAAAACCCAGGCCTTTTTTGCTTGTTTTTGGGGGGGCAGCCCCCAGGAGCACCCTAGAAGCTTCTAAAGCCTATGTATACCCTTTTTTTGACAAAAACCGGGCCTGCTATCATGAAAGTGGGCCATTTGGGGGAGGTCTGCAGAGTGCTAAAACTTTTTTTTTTAATGCCTCTTCAAAATCTTGGTGAGTCTTGGTGATCAGAGGTGGTTCGGCCTTCATTTTCAGCCATTTTTCACCCTGAAGCCTCCTGAAGCTTCTGGAAGGCCTCCCAGAGGGCAGGGGGGGGGGACATTTTAGAAAGCCTCTGGAGCCTGGGCAGGGCAAAAATGGGTCCATCATGTGCAAAAAGCAGGGGGAGGGCGGGAGTTGTGCCGCATGTGCAGGGGGTGGGGTGGGCGCATAGAATTATGGGTTTGAGCACGCCTGCCCACAACCCCCCTACACTCCCCCCACTTTTGGCACACGATGGAAAAAGGGTTAGCCATCACTGTGATATAAGGT